AGGGCCAGCAGCTCCAGGGGCGCAGTGCACTCCCGGGGTCGCAGGCCCCAGGGCCAGGAGGGCGGCGGCTCACAGCTCTGTATGCACGGTGGCTGCCACGGCTGAGCGGCCGGGTATTCACGGCCCACATGAACTGGCAAATTATTGTTCATACGTTGTTTCTCAGAGTTTTCTACTAGATGTCGAGCTTCATATGTTTGGAAATAACTGCATCTAAAAAAACACTGAAAGCCAGATGAAGCGCACTGCTGTAGTCCCCGCCAACGGGAAGGCTGAAGCAGGAGGGTTGCTTTAGGCCACTAGTTCAAGACCCTGTCTCTAAACAGCAAATACATAAATAAACATTGAAAACATCATTTGAAAAAGCTTTGTGACCTTGGAATTGACTTAAGGGCCAACCCCTCTCCCCCTTCCTGTTATTTCTACCTGTGGGGCTTTCTCCAGGTAGCCCTCTAAGTTTCAGTGTCCTTGTATGTATGTGTGTATTGACAAGCTCTCTCTTTTTTTTTTGGTACTGGGGATCGAACTCAGGTACTTGCGTTTGCAAGGCAGGTGGCAGAACCACTGAGCTAAATCCCTGGCCCTACAAGCTCTCTTTATATACTTCAAGCTGGCCTTAAACTCACTGTGTAGCCCATGCTGGCTCTGAACTCGCAGTCCTCCTGCCTCAGCCTCCTGAAGCTGGGATGATAGGCGTGTGCCACTACCATATCCGGCTTTGTTTCTTCATTTTCAAAATGGAAAAAATTATACTGAATCTAAGAGTTGTTCAGAGTTAAGAGAATGTATGAAAGGGGTAGGAATCCCAAACTTGGAGTCTTCCGTATTGACAAAGTCCAGCAGCGCATTCAGGGTCACCTGGCCCTGTAAGCTCTTGCTGGCATATCTGCCTGTCCTATAGGCGGGTGGGGACAGATGTAGTGGATCGGCTGTCCCTGTGCTCCCTGGGCCTCATAGCTGAGTTCCCCTGGGTAGGTCACCTCAGAAATGAGGTGTAGAAATAATGCTAAAAAAGTAGGACTGATATTCACAGTATGTGCCTGCAGGCACAGCCAGCCAAGTAACCAAGTAACCAACACCCTCTGAGGGCGACTTAGGAGGGAGCTGGATCTTGAAGCACTTGGGTGGCCTGGCCACAAGGCAAGCAAGGCGATGCCCATGGAGGCTCTCCCTGCACCAGAGGCCACGCTCTTAGCCAGTAAAGAGCATGGAGTCTGCTTTACAGCAGCCCTTACTGGGACCTCCTGGAGGCACAGCGGTGGTTAGGGTTGCCATGGCTACATAGGGAGGTGAGGAAGGGGAGCTGTGGGCTGTGTGGGACACACACTCACCCGTTTCCCTCCCCACCTCTCCCTGTCCCCTCAGTGAGTGCCCTGTCCTAGGCCACTGTCCCCTCCTGCTTATCCCACACCCACCTCCAAAGCTGCCTTCTCGGGGTCCGTCGGGGTCACCTGCTCCCCCACATGCCCTGGCCCAGGATCTGACAGCGTGGTGGGAAGGGAGAGCTGAAGTCCAGGACACGGTCCTGAGCACTGTGAGGTAACCAGGGGAGCAGGAGGAGCAGCAAAGAGGAGCAGGGTTGGGGCACAGTTCAGAGACTTGGGAGCTGGGCCTTCCGGGAAATTCACACAGAGCAGTGCTTCTGGAACATTCTGTGAGGGAGACGCAGCAACCAAGCCCGGCGCACTGCTGTGGCCTTAGCAGCTGTCGCCCCTGGTGAGGCTGACTGACCCCTGAGGGACACGGAATGGCAATCTGTACATAGCCCTGGGCATGGAGGGAAAAACCAGGAAGGGTCAGGAACACACTCTGGGGACATGAGCAGCCGTCACCACCCCTGCACTGAAGGGTGAGAGGAGAGCACAGTGCTGCCAACCCCAAGAGAGCTGTAGCTGTTAGAGCCAAGGCTGGGGACAGAGCGGGGAGGATGATAAAGGCGCTGTCACCGGCAGCCTGGCCAGGGGCCCGAGCGGGGAAGGGGACGGGTGCAGTGTGACAGGAAGGAAACGTGGCAGACCTCAGTCCGGTCACCTCGTTCTGCTCACTCCCCCTAACCCTCGGTGTCGTGGACCACAGATGTCACTTCGGCCACCGTGACTCTGCGTGAGGAGCAGCTGCAGGTTCAGAGCAGGGGGAGAGGCTGGGTGGTGACCCCCGGCACACGGGCCTGGGGCTCACGGAGCGGCTCGGCTAAGCCGGAAGTGCGACTGGAGCTCCCTGGAGGCTGCCTGTGAGGAAGGTGCTGTCACTCACAGGCTTCCATGTGGGAGCAGGGGGACTGCTGCTCTGTTCCAGGTGCCAGGCTTCCCGGCCCTCGGCACAGGGAGGCGCCTCAGACTGTAACCCTCTGGCCCTCCCTCCTCCCCTCCCTCCTCCCCTCCCTCCTCTTCAGCACTGGTGATTGAACTCAGGGCCTTTGCGTTAGGCTACATCATTCTAGCCCTTTTAAAATTCTTAATTTTTTTTATTTCGAGAGAAGGTCTCATTAAGTTGCTGAAGTTGGGCTCAAACTTGTGACCCTCCTGCCTTAGCCTCTCAGAGTGCTGGGATTGCAGGCGTGTGCTTCTGTGTCCGATTTTGGCATGTCACTTCTACCCTCCATTACCATATTTTTGAAGTTCAGTTTGGTGAGAGTATTTTGGGTATTTACCTTTTCTCTGGTGTTGCAGCAGTGACTTCTGATAAGATGTGAAGAATGGAGACCAGGCACGGCTGTGTCTGGAGCCCTGTGACCTTTATCTGAGGGAGCTGGAGCTTCCGAATTCAGGGTGCAGTGGGGAGTCGGGGGGTCACCATGGAGCTAAGGGCGCGGTGGGGGTGGAAGACCCTTTAGGAAAGATGATGAAGGACTTTCCTCAGAAAAAAGCAAAAGCCCACAATCGGATTCAGCTTGCAACTTCTTGAAATCCATGGCCCTATTAAGGATCCAGGGATCCCAATTTAGCATCTCTGGTGGAACTCATGGTCCTCACAACATTTGGAACAAAGGATTTTTCTTTAGGGTTCTCTGTGGTCCCAATTATAAGAGATATAAAGTTATATATATCTCAGGCATTATGTTCATTTTGCAAGGTTGGGAAGGGAAGGGAAGGGAAGTTATATAATTGGACTCTTGTTTCCCTTCCCTCACACAAATATTCTACAGATGGGACAAAATAATTACAAAATGTGGAATATTACACAGAAGGCAAAAGGGAAACCATTTGAGATGCGTGCTGCAATATGGATGAACCTTGAGCACATTGTGCTAGTTGAGGTAAGCCTGACTCAGCAGGACAGATACCTGTGTGATTCATAGAGACAGAGTACCATGGAGGTCCTAGGGGCGATGGGGAAGAGGTGGGGAGTCTCATTGTTTGGCGGGTATAGAATTTCAGTTTTGAAAAATGAGAGTTCTAGATATTGATTGAACAGCAGTGTAAACACATGGGGTGAGTGAAAAATACTGTACTTACACTTAAAATTTCATGACAATAAAAGACACTGCTGTTAATCCCCCTCAAAATATTGCTTTTTTGGGTAAGAATCTTTGGCCTATTTCTTGTATTCTGAGTAACTACTTTGAAGACACCGATGCTCGTGTATTAACTACCGTTACTGTCTTATTGTTTTGTTATGAAATTTTGTTTTACCTTTTCATAAAACAAAAATATACTTTCCTCCGCTTCAACGCAGTCACCCCATCGTGTCTGCCACTTCCGAAGCAGCTCTGGAGTCCTCTTTCAGGAGTGTCTGACGGTGTGTGGTCAGAAACAGCGAATGCTGCTGCCTTCTGGCCCTGGGAGACTCCGGCTCCGCCCTCAAGTCAGAATGGCCACGACAGGTAAGCGTTTTCAGTTGGCTCAGGGTGTTGAGCTGGTCCCCACAGCACGAAGGAAGACTCTGAGCCCCACGACCGTGTCTGCTCCTGCGAGGTCTCGGGGCTGGAGCTGGAGCACTTCCTCTTCTGCTCCTCGGTCTTGCTCCTGATGTGTTTTCCTCTAGAGGACGGTTATGACCGTCCTACGGGGCTCCACACAATGATGCCAACGAGAAACTTGGGCCTCCTCTGTGATTCATCACACAAGAACTCTCCATTTGATGGGGCTCATCCTTTTTATTACAGGAAGTAAATACGTGTTGCTAGGCTACTCTGTGCAGCAAAAAAGAAATCATATAGTGGATTCCATTGTATGCTCTGTGCTCTCGGAGAGTTGATGATTCCCCAGTGCTAATCAAGACCTTTTGTTCTTGACCTCCTTCACCTGAAGTTAATTAGAGTTTGGGCACAGTGTACTTGATGTAAACAGAAAAGAAAAAAAAAAGTCCTGAATCATAACTGCCTATGAGAAAATGGTTGGCTTCCTTAAACTTTCTCAAAGGAATTTAAAAGCATTTATTGGTTCACATTTTCAGTTCCACATCTGTCTGTCTGTGTAGTTTTCTGTCTATGGACCAAGAACCTTACAAACATCAGATCAAATCTTAGTGTTGTAAAGGAAACAAATACGGATTGCGCAGGTAACTCTCAAGAGTTGCAGGTACATGGTGGCACACGCCTGGTCATCCTAGCACCCCGGAGGCTGAGGCAGGAGAATCACTGCATGTGTGAGGCCAGCCTGGGATGCGTATCAGTTCAAGGCTGGCCTGAACTACATAGGGAGTCCCTGTCTCAAAAAACAAAAACAAAAACAACTTTGGAGAACATCTTTTGAGCTGCTAGGCGAGGACATCTGTTCTCCACCCCTGAGGAGAATAAATTAGGTGGAGACCGCTTCAGGCGGGAGCTGGGAAGGGTCAGGCCCAGGGGAAGGAAGAGCTAGAGAGAGCTCAACATGCGAGTCCGCAGACCGGGCCAAGCCCTGGCTGGCGCCTCTGTCCCCAGCGTTCTGCACGGTGACGAGCGCGCTCAGTGCACCGGGGCCTTCGCGATGGGAATGAGCGAAAAATCACCTTCGCGTGCTCCAACGAGCGACCTGCCAAGGGCTACAGGCGCCTGCGGCAGGAATTCCCCAAAGCGCCTTTCAGCTCCCGACCTTGACTCTCATGGAACCGCCCCCGGCCAAGAGTGTGAACCTTGGGTCAGATGTCAGAGTCCAGACCCCAGGGCCACCGCCAGCCAGCATGGTCCCGGGGCCCGGGCCCTCTCTGATCACCCCAGCGGAGGCCGCTCCGCTGTGCCCGTCCCTGCAGCAGAGATTGACGTTGACTGCGATTGCTCAGGAAGCCAAAGCAACTCCGCGCCCTGGCTCCCCGCCACCGGTTTGTGGGAAGAACAAAGGGCTGGTTTTGTGCGCTGGATCCAAAGCTGTGAAAAAGTTTGGAAAACATATTTGCTTTCTATTCTTTCATAGGGAGTGTTTCACACACGGAACTTCTAAACTGCTCAAATATACAAGCCGTGCGTGCCACTATCCCTTTAACATGAGGGGGTGTTTGTTGAATGAACAAATGCTGGGGGTCAGGCCGTGTGCGGGTGGCACCGAAGTGCGACCGGGTCTTGCACCGTGAGAGACAGACCTGGACCGCTGGGCCCCCGGCTGCGCGGACAGTGGGGGCGGGGGCGGCGCCTTGGGGAGCCGGGGTAGGGATCGGTCCAGGGGCTTCTGCTGTGGGGACCCATGAGCAAGAACAGCAGGGACACCAGGGACTCCACGGGGGCCAGTGCCCAACATGGACTGCAGATCTGGGAGCAGCGACAAAGAGGGTGGAGGGGATGCAGAGCCCCGCCGTGCACCGCCGGGGCCTTTGACCTTCGGCACAGAGATGGGGTGAAGCCGGCAGGCAAAGCTCTGCTGGGGACCCCGGGAAAAGACTGCGGGTGAACCTGGGGGCCCAGGGCTTGCTGGAGTGCACGGTGCGCAGAGGGCGGACGCCCCGGACTCAAGGTTGGGGACGGGGATGGCGTGGCTCCAACCGAGGTCATTTTGACACTAAACGATGAAAGACAGGTTTAGTGGGTGGAAGATGATTTGCTCTTTTTTAAAAAAATGTAGTTATAAATATGGAATTCATAACTGGGAAGATACGGATTCAAATGTACTTTTCTTTCATCGCATCTGGAATTCAGTAATCCAAGAAATGAGTGTAAGAACGGAATCCACCAAGAGCGCGTCCGGACAGGAAGTTCACAGCCGAACGGTTCTCAGCCAGGACCGGGCGAGATCCGAGCCCAAGCTGCCTTGCATCAATTAAAACAGGGAGACAGAGGATTTTCGAAGAGGGAGACCGGATACAGGAAGAATGCTGATATGGTAAAACTCACAAAAATAATTAAGAATCAGCTTATGGCTCTTTCTCTATGCCTAGTTAATTGCATTTCAATATTTCCCCATTGCCCTTTGGTGGAGATCCCAGAATAAGGTAGAACAGCAAGTAGTGCAGCCAGTAGGGGCAGGAGCAGGGGACCCATGAACCTACGGCTGCCTGGCTCCCGTCAGGAGGAGCCTGGGGAGCGAGTGGGCCAGGCCAGGAGAGACGACCAACAAAGCCAGGGGCAAGCCCACAAGACAGCGAACCTCTTGGGCGGTTAAAGAGCCTCCTTGATTTCTGAGTTTTGTTTCTGGTAGAGTTAGTTCTTCCTCTGGTTTTGAGGGATCTGGATAGTGTGAGAAAGGTGTTTGGTTTCGACCCCCAATTTCCCGAAGAGGTAAGAGACGATGCAGGCAGCCTTTGCTCCCAGGAATGGTGAGAAGAGGCACCACACACAAAGGGCTGCTGAGAGCTGTGACAGCCCCCAGCAAGCCTGCTGTCAGCCGGAGAGGGTAGTGGGCGGGTGTCCCCGCGTCCCGGCCGACTTCCTCTCCTCTCCCTGCCAGAGCTTCCTCGTCCCAACCTGTAATCCCCGCCCAGGCAATTCCAGGCCTGGGTGTTTCTTAAGCAAATAGAGCAGCTCAGTCCAGAGTTAGGGGTTGCTCCTTCCCAGCAGCTGTCTTCCCGGGTGGGTACTCAGGATGTGTGTGACTCGGGGTCAGCAGCGTATTCCATGCCTTTGATCTCCCCTCCTCCTGTGCCTTCGAGGCATCCGTCCCTGCCGACAGGTGCATCTCCGTGACCAGCAGCACCTGCTGCACGCTCTTCATTTCCTGATGCTCTGACTGTGAAGTGTGGCCCTTACATGCTGCCTTCTTCTCCCATAGTTTCTCCTGCTGTGTCTTACTGCTCAGTCCTACGGGAAGCTTTTGGTGATTGGGAAGAAATCTGCCCCCCCTTCCTGCATAAGTATTGTCCCCAACTTCCTCTTCACTGTCCCCAAATCTGAGTCTGGAAACTGTCAGGGAGCTGTTCAACAAGTGCCATGGGTTGGAGGGCAGTGCACCCACTGTGGACACCCCCAAGGTGATGAGAGAAGGTACACACATCCCAGCCCTGAACGCCAGGTTTCTTCTACACCAAGTGAAGCAAGCACTCACTCTGCCAGGGTACAGGCTGACTGCAGAAATTCCTGCTGAGCGCTTGCTGTGCTGGGTGCCATTTTACCTTCCGCCCAGGGGTCATTCTGTTCTGCGCACACAAGTCCTTTTCTCATTAATGTCACCGTTTTGCAGATGAGGGCAGTTCCTGCAGAAGGGTTAAGTGGTTTGCCAAGTTTGGAACTGGGCTGCACATGTAGGAGTTGGACTGAGGAACACAAGGCTATCTTGTTCCTTTTGTGCTGTTGAAATCTGTTTCTGTCCATAAGTTCATTCTCGCGAGAGTTCCTCTGGAAGTGTTACTGTTTTGCCATACGTTTAGATCTGCACCATCAGGAATTACGGGCCTGTGCCATCACACATGGCTCTACACCATCAGGGATAGGTTTTTGTGTCTGATGTGAGGTCAAGATTAATTTTTCGCTTTTGGGTCCCCAACTGACATCCCGCATTGAAAACAGCACCCTTTTCCTGTTTGCAGCAGCTGCCGTTTGTCGGCTGAGCCTGTACTTCCAGTCAGGTTTTGGAGTCTTGATTCTGTTCTACTCCTCTGCTTATCTTTGTGGCAAGAATGCATTGTCTGAATTACTACAGCTGATAATATAAATATTATAGGTAGTATTTCCTCATATCTAGAAGTATAAATCTTACTTTCAAAATTGCCTTGATTATTTTGCCAACTTACACACACACACACACGTACACACACCCAGAGATATTATATGCTGGGGTTTTGATAAGGATCGAATTGAATCGCTATAGATAGATTTGGGGAAAATTGATATCCTAATTCTATTGGGTCCATGAACATGGTATATTCCCTCTGCCTTTTTAGTTATTTCTCACAATAGTGTCATGAAGTTTTCTGTATGGATGCCTAATTCAATTTGTTAGATTTTAGATATTTGATTTTTAAGAAAGGAGATTGTAAATGTTATCCTACAAAAATTCCATTTTCTAATTGTTGGTTATAGTATATAGGATTTAATATATTGACCTTGTAAGTATAGCCTTGCTTTTCACTTATTAATTCTAATTGTAAGATGTTGCAGATTTCTTTTTTTCAAGTATTACATTGTTTATTGATAGATGCAAGTACAATGGTACCTGGTTTACAAATTTAATTTGTTTTACAATGGGGAAGACATCTGCGTTTGTGCTGTGTGGTGAGAGGATGGCTATGATTGTGTTTGTCACCTAACATGGAATTTGTGAATGGAATCAAAATTTTGCCAGACTAAATTGTTTGCAAACAGAAGCATTCATGAACCGAGGTATTACTGTATATAAAAGGACATAAACATGACTTGACACATTAACTAGTCTTAATTTCAGTACTACAATAAGAGGGACCAGTGAAAATCCTACCGTTTGTTTCACACCCACAAAAAGTACTTCCAGGCCATTAATGACCTCTTAAAACTAATCAGTTTTGTGCAACTAAACCAAATTTCTTTCGAAAAGACTTGTGCATTTGGCCAAGCTCTGGGATTTTAAAATCTAGCACAGACCGCTCATTACTAGAGGCAGAAATACAGGCAATATGTACTATTATGCCAATGACCATCAGGCGGAGTTAAGAATTTTCCTGTAACCACCAGATAGATGTATAATCAACAACTGCAGCAACCCAAGTATTCCAGAGAAAAGTGCATTTCTTCAGTGTCCCACGTTGCTATTCAGTTTTCTAACTTAAAACAGCCCCAGATAACTAACTAGCAGTAAAGATGACCCTTGCAATAGACAGCCTGTGCTGGAGAACTTGCTGTGCCCTCACTGTGTGCTGCTGATTCCCTATCACGGTGTGTGGGTCATAGCTCAGTGGTAGGACCGCTTGCACAGGGCCCTAAGTTCAACCTCCAGGAATGCACGCACACGCACGCACGCACAGAAGACGGGAGTGCACATGCACACCGAGCATTAAAAGTACTCTTAAAATAGTTGACAGTAGAGTATGATGGAGACATCACACTGCAAACAAACCTGATGCAGAAGGGCTTGCTAATGGAGGTGCTTGTGCTTCTGATATCAGGAAACCTTACTTGCCCGTAGGGCTTTAGTCAACCGCATTTCCACCCAGGACAAGACGTTCTGCACACTTTCAGGCTCTGGCTGCTTCTTTGGTCAGCATCTTCTCAGCTTTGGGCCAGGGGAGTCATGGTTTCACCTGCAGTACAGCCTTGCCTTTCCCCAGAAACTCTTGGATTAAATCTTTCCAAGCCAAGCACTGTTCTTCCCTAAGGAAAGAGAGGAACCTTGTGCCTTGGGCAAGGAGCTGTGTGATGGGTCCGGCAGGCGGAAGGGGGAGTTTCTGCATAGCTGTGTTACTGAAGGGAGCGCTTGCTCTCGCGGCTGCGGCTCTTCCTTGGGAGGGCACAGGAAGGATTTGTTTCATTACCGGGTATGTTTCCATCACTGAATATACCCAGCAAGAAGCTGGCCATAAGGGTGTCCCAAAGCCTTCTCTACCAGAGGACTGGGAGAGATGTCAACTCTAAGTCATTTATAGGTGGTTTGTGGGGATGGACCCAGGTGTGGGAACTATGTCCCCATAGGTTCCTTCTTCAATTTGAGAAGCAGGAGTAAGAAACTGTCTCTTTCCTTTCAAAATGTCCAACGTGCAGTCTTTAGTCTGATTAATTTCTGGGGGCATTTTCTGCATATTGACTTTGCTTTGTTGAAAAAGTTCTGCTAACTGATCTTTTTGTTTTGCTTATTGAGACAGGATCTTGCTATGTAGTTCAGGCTGGCCTTGTTCTCACTATGCAGCCCAGGCTGGCCTTGAACTCATGGTGATCCTCCTGCCTCAGCTTCTCCAGTGCTGGGATTACAGGTGTGCACTACCACGCCCAGCCTGTTAACTGTTCTTGAGTTTGTCATTTAACCAGTTGCTGAAGACGAAGAAGAGAGGAAAATGGGGGTTACTTTCCAGTGGTTGAAGAGTAGATTTATTTGGCATGCAACCGTAGTTCTATAAAAATGGCACTTACTTCTTTTTTTTCCAATTCCTATAACTTTGATTTCCTCTCCTTGAATTAGAGGTATTCCAGAATACTATTGACAGTGGACATTCTCACTTTAGAGGAGAAACTTTAAACATTTTGCTATTAAACATAAAATTTGTGGTAGTTGTTGTTTTAAAAGATACTCTAAGGACTGGAAGGGTGTCTCAGTGGTAGAGCTCTTACCCAGCATGTGTGTGCCCTGGGTCTGATTCCCAGCACCACAAAAATAAACCAGTAAATAAATAAACAGCTACTCTAGTTGAGCAAGTTCCCTTCTCTTCTTAAGTAAGAATCACAAAAGAAAAATCACAAATGGGTGTTGAATTGCTTATTTATTAATGCAGTGCTGGGGATTGAACCCAGGGCCTTGCTGTACCACTGAGCTACACCCCAGATCCTGAGGGTTGAATTTTATGAAGCAATTTGTCTTCTTTTTCTGTTAGTACCTGTCCATATAAGTGAATGTAAAATGAATCACATTGACTGATTTTTTTACAGAATTCTTTTTTACTGTGACAAAATATACCTGACGTAAAAGATGACCACATAACCATTTTCAGATGTGCAACCAGAAGCATGAAGCACATTCCCACTGTTGTGCAGCCCTCATTGTTATTCATTTCCAGAATTTTCCATCATCTCAAACAGAAATTTCATAGTCAGTGAGCAATATGTCCCTATGCCTCTTTTTCCTCAGCCCTTGATAACTTCTTGTATTATGTTCCGGCTCTGTGAATGTAACTGTTCTAGGTACCTTATGTATGTAAAATCATGCAATAGTTATCCTTTTGTGCTGGTTTATTTCCTTTACCATAAAATCCTCAAAGTGTATCCAGGTTGTAGCATGTAGCAGGACTTAATCCTTTTAAAGAGCTGTGCAATATTCCATTATATGCGCTGGCTACCTTTCCGTTCCTTTGTTGGCAGACATTTGGGTTGCACTTGTCTCTTGGCTATTGTGACTAATGCTGCAAAAGCAGACATACACATTTCTCAGTCCACTTTTAGGTGCTGTAGTGGCATAATTTTATAAAGCATAGAAGTGTATTCTCATGTGGTTCTGGAGGCTGGGAAGCCCAGGATCAAGGTGCCCACTTGGGTGTGGGCCTTCCTATTGCATTTTCATGACGCAGAAAGCAGAAGGCCACCCCCACAAATGCTTTTATGGTGCCGGGAATCCATTTGTGTGGGGGTCCTTGTGACCCATACCTTCCCATTAGCTTCCACCGCACAGTGCTGTTGCATGGGGGATTAAGTTTCCAATTTAGTTTGGAAAGGGCAAAAACTTGAAATCATAGCAGCAAGTATCTGAGTCCCTGCTTTTAATTCTTTGGGTTATCTCCCCAGAAGTGGAATTTTTGTATTATACGATAGCATTATGCTTAACTTTCTGAGAAACCATTAAAATGTTTTCCCTGGTGGCTGCATGATTTTGCATTCGTAGCAGCAATGCATGATGGTTCCAGTCTCTCCACATCCTAATCAACACTTGCAATGATCTTTTTCTTTTCTTTTTTTTTAAATAGTAGCACCTTAATGGGTGTGAAGTAGTATCTTATGGTTTTGATTTGCATTTCCTAATGATTAATGATGTTGTGCTTACTGGCTACTTGCTTATTTTCTCTTTTGAAACATCTGTTCAAGTCTTTTGTCCAGTCTTGAACTGGGTTGTTTGTTGAGTTGCGGAGTTCTTTATATATTTTGGATACTATCCCCTCATCAGACATATGATTTGCAAATATTTTTTCTCAATCTGTGGATTGTTTTTTCACACTCCTGGTAGTACCTTTTAATTCACAAAATTTTTTAATTTTAATAAAATCCAATTTATTTTGGTTTTTATTTTGTTGCTTATTCTTTTGTCATATCAAAAAACTCATTGCCAATCCCAATGTCATGAAGTGTCTCTGCTCTGCCTTGTTTTAATACATTTATAGTTTGACTCTTACGTTTTGGTCTTTCATTTTTGAGTAAAAGGCTTAGTTTCTACAGAGGACTTTCTCTGGCTTGCAGATGGCTGCCTTCCGTCTGCTGTTTAATGATTATTCTCTGCAAGTATGAATGCCTGATACTGCCCTGCTTCTGCTAGCTCTAGTTAAGGCTGGGCATTATGACGCATGTCTGTAATTCCAGCACTCTGGGAGGCTGAGAAAGGAGGATGGCAAATTTGAGCCCACCTTGGGCAACTTAGTGATTTACTGAGCTCCTATCAATAATAAAAGGTCTTGGAATGTAACTAGGTGCAAAGTCCCTGGGTTCAATCCCTAATGCTACACACACACGCACACACACACACACACACACACGTGCATGCACGTCCCTTCAAAGGAACGTAATATCAGATTAGGATCCTATCTTAATGACTTCAATTAACTCGATCATTTCTTTAAAGTTCTTATCTCAACATACGATTCTGTTCTGAGACACACAGGGTGAACTCCGACATGCATTTCATGGGGACCCAGTTTGGCCTACGGTGCTCATCATGGCGGACGGAATCTTTCCTGCAGCTGTTGAGCTCATCTCCCTGGGGTCACCCCTGACTCCTCCCTTTCTCTCTGTAACCCACAACATTAACAGATCTGCTTGGCCTTTCTTAGAAACTGGATTTAAAATCCCACCTTCCAGACCACCATGGAGGTCCATCGGTGCTTTAGCTCCCCCCATCTCCCCCCTCCCTCCTCTCTCTCCTTTCTGTCCTTCCTTCCTTCCTTCTGAAGGTCTCACTGTGTGGCTCAGGCTGTCTTGAACTCCTGAGTTTAAGTGTTCCTTCTGCCTCAGCCTCCTGAATCCTCGGATTATAGGCATGCTACACCACACCCAGTTACATTTACTTTCTATTTCATTAATTTGCAGTTTTATTTTTGTTACTTCCATATTTCGTTTGCTGTTTTCGTACTAATTTCTTGAGATAATTGATTTTGAGTCATAATTTTTGCCACATTCCTCAAGTTGCTGTCATATTTTCATCATAACATAGTAAACTATTTTTCACTATATTATTTCTTGACAGAAATTGGCTTTTTAAAATACGGATTTATTTTTAAGGTCAAATTACTTAATTTACAAACATTTCAACATTTCAATATGGTTAGCAAATGTACTCAGAATGATCTGAATCATTTGAAAGTTGTTGGAAATTTATTTATAGGCAGCATAAAGTCAGTTTTGTAAATGCTCCTATGCTGTTGGAATGAATGAATTCTCTTTTGTTGTTTGGCAGAGTATTCTACATTTGTCAAATAAGTCAAATTTGTATATAAATAAATCAAATTTTACTCTTATCTCCCATATCCCTATTGATTAAAAATTTTACAAATACGCTAAAATTTTTTGGTTAAATCTCTCTATAGAGGGCTGGGATCTAGCTCAGTGGGGGAACACTTTTCTGGCATGCAGGAAGCCCTGGGTTCCATCCCCAGTATCACAAACAAAGCAAAGCAAAACAAAAAGAAACCCCCAAACCATCAATAGCAACAATAAAGAACTCCACAACCTCTCCCCTATAATTGTATATTTCTTCCTTCAGTTCTTCAATTTTTGAATCTACATTATTTGGTATATATGTGTTTAAAATTATTATATTTTCCTGGGGAGTTATATTTTTATTATTATGATTATCCTTTTTATCCTTAGTAATGTTGTGGGCCTGTAAGTTCACTTTGCTTGATAATTAACACATCTATGAAACTTTTTGTTAGCATCCGCATGCCTTATTTTTTCTATCTTTCACTTTCTATTTCTCTGTGTTAGATAGTTATTCTGTTTGTTTATTACTTATTTATTTTGGTGCTGGGGATTGAATTTAGGGCCCTGCCCGTGTTGCGCATGCTTTGAAGCACTGACCTACACCTTGGTGCCTACTCTGTTTGTTGCGAATGTACTTGGCCTTATAGAGATCGAACTCAGGACCTTGTGCTTGTGAGACAGGCACGGTGCACTGAGCTAAATCCCTGGCCCTGGCTGTATTCCTACTATTTGTTCTCTCCATGTTCACCTGTTATATTGTCCCTTTTCCTACCTTTTATCTTAAGTATTTTAAAATTTCATTTTTCTTTTATTAGATTACTTGAAATATAGTCTTTTCCTCTTTTAGTCAGGACTTTAGAGATTGTGATACCATTTCTTAACCTACTTGTGTAGAAAGCAATTCATACTTTTAGCATTTCTGAATAATGCTCCCTTGACAGCAGAGTTTGTCTCTTTTCCTCTGTCTGGTTTTGGCTTGCATTTTAGTTCTACATACACTTCCAACCCTAAAACTTTCTTGTTGCTTGATACAGTCAAAATTAGGTTACATATTTACATTTTCCATTCCTGAAGTTTTGTGTTTTCACCTGATGTTATTTTCCTTATGTAAGCATTTTCATTCATGTTTCCTTTAGTGGGAGTGTGAGGGCAATGAATTATCTATTTCTATTTGTTTGAAAATGTCTATCTTCATTTTAAAGTAAAATTTCTTTAGGTATAGGTTAGCATTTATTTCATTTTAGCATTTTAAATATATTATATGATTCATTTGGGTTTTTTAAAATTTGGTTTGTTTGGGGGGGCTTCCAGTTTCTATTAAGAAATAACTCCTTGGCATTTTGCTTTTGTTTTTCTTCTGAAAGTCACTTGTCTGCTTTCCCCGGCTGCTTTATGGTTTTCTCTGTTCTTGGTAGTTTTATGCTGATGTAGGAAAGTGTGATTTCCTTTGTATTTATTCTACTTAGGTTTATGAATATTTAGAATTTATCCTTGATGGCTTTTGTAGGTTTTTGAAATATTCAAATTATTATCCCCTCACGTATTGCTTCTGCCCATTTTGTGTTGTCTCTTGTTAGCTTTCTATTACTGAGACAAAACATCTGACTAGATCAATTTATAAGGCAGAAAGCTGTATTTTAGGTCACAGTTTCAGAGGCTTTACGCCCATGGTCTTTTTTGGGCCTGTGGTAAGGTCGAACATCACAGCCAGGAGCACATTAGGAGGCAACGCTGCTTACCTCAGGGCAGCTGGGAAGCAAAGAAATGAAGGGGCTGGGATCCCAGCATCCCCTTCAGGCCACACCCCCAGGGACCTCATTTCCTGCCACAGGCCCCTCCCCCAGAGGTTCTGCCACTTCCTGGTAGCACCACAGGCTGGGATTCGTGTACATTTGGGTGACCCTCAAAGTAGAAACTACAGCATCTCCCCTTCGAGGTTTCTGATTACATGGATTCTAGATCCTTCTGGAGTTCTGATAGATGGATAGTGGACCTTTTCCCAGGTCTTGCACATTCTTTATGCTCTCTTTTAAAAGATCTACTCTTGTTTTTCTTTCTGTGTCTCTACCAATTCAGTTACCAGGGCACCAGCCGTCTTCTTGTTAATGCCTCTATCAATCTGATGTCTGTCAGTCCTTTCCAGAGTCCACGGAATAGTCCTAGTCCTCTGTGAAATGTCTATTTCAAACATTTAAAGGTAGCCCTCTATGGAAATAACATCAGAAACCTGGAATTCTACCTCAAGCTTGATTACAGCAAGCGACACCAGCCCAGGGCTAGCAGTGGATCGTCAGCACGTGACAGCATGCATCCTCATCTCGCAGGACAGGAGCTGGAGGCTTGAAAAGCACATTGCTCAGGATTACATGGCCATCAAGGGATGCACCGGACTATGGCTCAGCTTTTCTGAGGATGAAGCCTGACCTTTATCGGTCATGGTACAGAGCACGTACCCTGCCTGACCTTTATCGGTCATGGTACAGAGCACGTACCCTACGTGTATGTAGATTTACACTGGATTTGTGGTCAGTTTGACTTCAGTCTTTGATCACGTGAAGTTGGATCCAGCCATATTTCTCCATTGTGTGATTCTGTTTTGTCACGTGCGAGTATACTTAACCTACCTGGCATGTACCATCTCTTTTTACTTAAGTGTATAACGTATTTTTCCCCATTAAATATAAAATTGAAGGTTTAACCATCATTTCAGTATGTCAAACTGATGATTGTTTTTTATCATTTAACATATCTCTTTGAACTTCGGGTTGCCCACAAATTCGACAGTTTCAAGATTCAAAACTTGAATAGAATAATATCAGGCAGAGCCATGTACGGCCCATGGCACCTTCAACCAGTTGTGAACATATCTAATTGTGCTGTTCCCTAAAATCACATTTTTTTAAGTTGGTCCCAACTGCATTAGTTTCCTGGTGAATACATTCAATGGTTTGCATGGTACACCCTTGGGGAACCTGTGCTGATCCCTTGTGATCACGGCATTCTTTTCTTGTTTTATTCTTTTGGTTTTTTGAGACAGGGTCTCCCTATGTAGTTGAGGCTGACCTGGAACTCACTATGTAGCCCAGGCTGGTCTCGAACTCACAGCGATCCTCCTGCCTCAGCCTCCTGCGTGCTGGGATTACAGGCGTGTGCCACCACGCCTGGCAAGCGGCATTCTTTTCTAAGTGGTTCACAAACCATGGCTAGCAAATTATCCTAGAGTTTTGCTGGACCGACATGGAGAATTTTCTCTGACCAGACTGTGGTTCCCAGAATGTAGGCTTGCTCAAATTTCACAATCAAAAGCTATTTTCCAGTCTCCTGGCACCTCTTTGTTCTTCGTGCTTCTCCCCTCCCCTCAGAGATAGTGACAGCGGTTGCATAATGGCATCTCGAGTTTTTCAGGACTTTGGGTTACGACCTGTCTGGAGAGAAGGTGTGATCTCACTGAAAGTGTGATCCAGTGCAGAGAGAAGCATACCCAGGGTTATGTACCTGCATTCCTTCCCCGATGCATCGTGTGCCAGCTGCCGTGCATGGCTTTGTCCCTGTGGCCTCGGTTTCCTTGCCTGTAAGTGGGGACAAAACCTCAATGGGGCTTGAAAGAATTAAATGACTTAGGAGCTGTCTACAGTAACACAAACTCTGAACCTCAACATCCTTAATGTTTTTGCTGTCTTGGATTTTGATTTATTCCTTACATTTAAAATATCCTTTAGAATCTGGGAGCAGTTCTTTTTGCTGGAGAAGACAGTGAAGAACTCTTTGGGGACACCGAGTAGTATAGAGTCTGGGCAGGGTGTCACCAGGTGGCACTCGGAGTGGGGGTGGCTCAGGAACCTTGCTCTCCAAGTCCTGCAGTTACTCTGGGTTTTATTGTCTGTAAAGGAGGAGGAAAAAGGACAGAGCAATTCTCAGTTCCAGCTCCCGGTTTTGTAGTCTGTGAATCTGTGCCTTCTGCCGTGTTCTTTTTTTGTGGTACCGGGGATTGAATGGGGGCCCTTGTGCTTGCAAGGCTGGCAGTGGAACCACTGAGACAAATCCCTGGCCCCCATCTGCCATGTTCTTGAGGTACATAACTGTTTTTCCTGTAGAAGAGCCACTTCTTCATCCACTTTGGGTTTAAATCTCAGAGATGACAAAACCACGAGCAGAATCCTTGCCACAAAAAATGCTTCTGACTGAACCACTGTCATCAGCTTGTGGACGTGGCGTGTTAGCCCAAATGAAGCCAAATTCAGAAACAAACCTGCTGTCCCCGACCTGATTATTCAGTTTCAGAGTTCCCAGCTCGTGACTGTCACCAGCCCAGCTATTGAGAATTGATGGTATAATAATCCTGTGTCAACATATAGAGACATTATGGAAATCACGGAAATAATTATGTAGCACTTTCCAAACGACAGTCTTTTTTGATAAATGGGAATGGATTTCAGATGTAAAATACAGCAATTCCTCTTTGCCCTGGAATGATGAAAGAAGCCTCTGGATCTGCACAGGACGTAGCTCTTCACCAGTTGTGATTAATCTGTGAGGGCAAAAAATCACATTCCTGTCTCTAAAATGTTAATAGTAATAATTATTCTTTTATTGCGCTTATTCTCTACTCTGGGGACATTTGCCAGGACCCACAGAAAGTGTTTTCCAATCTGGGAGTAATTAAATAGATAGCTTTGCTTGTCTTTCCAGAATAGACTTTTCACATAAATCCCCTTCATTCATTTCCATCAGACGTGCACTGTCTCGGTCCATCTGGCGGCGCTGTCGCAGAACACCTGACACCGGGAGGCCTGTAAGGAAAAGCAGTTTATCGGGCTCACAGTTCTGGTGGCGCAAGTCGAAGCAGCCGGGTGCTGGGTCTGGTGAGGGCCCTGGCTGCGCCGGGGGAGGCGTGAAGCACAGGAGGTGGTCCTCGCTCTGTAACCAGCCCAGGTCCTGAGGGACCGGACTTGGCCCGGAGGGAGAGGCACGAATCCCGACCCACTCACCTCCCTGCCACCTCCGAGTCCCACTCCCTGAGGAGGTAGCTGCCGCGTGGGTTGTACACCTTTTTTGTGGTACTGGAGAGTGAGCTCTGCCTACGGGGCGGACGCTCCGCTGCTGAGCTGAATCCCGAGGAGCCCTTTTTATTTTGAAACAAGGTGTTGCCCATGATGGCCTCTAACTTGGGATCCTCCTCCCTCCGCCTCCCAGGTAGCTGGGACCACAGGTGTGCGCCATCGCACCTGGCTGATAGGTACTTAGGGTTCTTATTATCTTGACTTCTCGGCAGCCCTTGAAAAACATCCTGAAATAACTTTTCCTTGGAAAACACACTGTTCCTCCTTCCCTTCCAGGGCCAGTCATTTTATTTCCTTTTGGTGGATCCTCTTCCTCTGTGAATGCTAAAGCTCCTCGCTGGCTGGCTGTCAGACGCAGTCCTCTCCTCCCCTCTCCCCTCCTCTCTGCTCCTCTGTCCCTCCTGCCCTCTTCCCTTCCTTCTGTTCTGTTTTCTTTTCCTTTCTGTCTTCTGAAGTAACTTCACCCTTTCCCACAATTTGAACGCCACCTATATGCCAAAGGCCCTCTCGTTTCTGTCTTCAGCTTTGCTCTTTCTCTGAGCCCTGGATCTAAACACTGGGCTGGCTCCTCAGTGTCACAGAGGCTCCAGACTGAGCAAGTCCAAACCTGGGCTCTGATCTCACTCCTTCCGAAGGCTTCGTTCTGGGCGCCCTGGTGCCTCCTTGGGTTCAGGGTCAGCTCTGGCCTCCTCTTGAGCTCTAGGTCAAAGATCTTCCGCGTGCAGCACCAGTCCATTGGCTTCCATCCTTTCCCCCATTGCTCTGCTCTCAGCAGTCTTCCAGGGGTCCTAGCTTCAAAATGACCAAGAGGAGAAGGAAGGGGGAGGAGGGGG